CCTCAAAATGTTTGTGTGTGTGTGTGTGTGTGTGTGTGTGTGTGTGAGAGAGAGAGAGAGAGAGAGAGAGAGAGAGAGAGAGAGAGAGAGCACATGTAACTACTTGGGAAGGAGAAATAGAATAAATTTTGAAGTCGACTGGGGTAGGTGGGAATGTGAACAGGAGGGAACAGTGCATGCTCTTAATTATTGAGCCATGTCAACAGCCTGTTCACTTGTTTTTTGTTTGTTTGTTTTGACTAAAAGAAAGCATGAGATTTTCTTTTTTTGATTCAGATGTAGGCATAACACAAATGCATTGAAACCTAATAGGGGTAAAAGAAACACTGAAAGTAGGCAAGACTGCCTGCAGATAAACTGGTAACAAAACACAGTAATATATACACCTGGACAAGCATCAATCCCACGAGAAAACCCAGCAACTTTAATTACTGCCCCTACAGGCACAGCACTGAGAAGTGTTTCTTTCCGCTTGAGTGAAGGCATACTGCTATGGCACAGCAACTGTTAGGAGTCTCTTCTCTTATACCACAACTGTCTTCTGATGCTCACTTTTATATGTGTGGTGTAATGACTAATTAATGCAGGTAGTGCACTGACAATGATGATAAGCACAGGGTTGGGGTTGGGGGTCAGGTTTAACTCTGGCTTTACTGCTTGCTCCTTTAGAGCTGTAGAGCAGGTATGGTAGGACAAGACTTATGAGGGATCTGCTCTGTAGCTAGCCATTTTCTATTCTCATTGTTGAGATATGCTCTGAAAATGTTATTCTTCACCTTCATGAAAAGAACTTGGAGAGGACCACAGACCACCTTTGCTATTTGGCCTTTGTGTCTTGTAGGAACATGGAGAACTTCATGGTGGGCTGTGGCTTGCGCAATATATCCATGGTTGGCAAGGAAAGAATATTGGTTAGGAAATGTCTGCATAGAGTATACAGAGGCAAGAGAGACCTGTGCATTTCCTGCTGACCAAATGGAGGACTAAGAAGCCAGCTTTGAGACGTATTGAAGGAACTTTGCCCAAGAGAGCAAACTTTATGCTATTAGAGAGGCACTGCTGGCTGAAGATTAAAAGCCAAAGCTTACAGAGAGAAGTAGAAGCAGCTACAAGCAGCTGGGGGGCTTCTTGGTGCTAAAGGTTGAGGAGCCCTTGAATGTGACACAAGAAAAGGGCCACCTCTTAAATGTCTATCAAGTCTCGTAAGGTATACTGGAGAGCTAGCTTAGGTGACACAGCTCCCTATTTATTTTTTGTAGTTTTGTTTTGTAGTTCATCTTCCTCTAGCCATGTTCCATCACCTTTCCTCTGCAGCTATTTAAAACATCCACAGTCCCTGACCTCATCTTTTCTGACAGGCTGAGAACCTTCTGTGTGTGTGTGTGTGTGTGTGTGTGTGTGTGTGTGTGTGTGTGGTCTTAGTCTTAGAGGAATTCATTAGCTAGGTAATATTGGATACCCTTTAAGAACAGTAGAAAGCCAGGTGTGATGGTGTACAACTTTAATCCCAATACTTGGGAGGTAGAAGCAGGCAGATTTCTTCGAGTTCAAGGCCAGCCTGGTCTACAAACAGAGAACCTCAATAAGAATTTGTGCTTATCTGCTATCTTAACAAGCACCACATGAAACATTTAAGTACAGTAAAGAATAGAATGGTTAAGGCATTGGTGGCACCCGCCTTTAATCCCAGCTCTCGGGAGGCAGAGGCAGGTGGATCTCTGTGAGTTCAAGGCCAGCCTGGTCTACAGAGTGAGTTCCAGGACAACCTCCAAAGCAATACAGAGAAACCTTGTCCCAGAAAAAAAACCCAAAACAAACAAACAAACAAACCAAAAAACAAACAAAGATTAGCATGTTAAGCCTGCATTGTTTACCCTAAAGACTAATTCTAATTCTGAACTGGAAGAACAAAGGAGTAAGGAAAGAAGACAATGAGACTGTCTTGTGTCACATATTTGAACAGGTATCAGTAAGTAATGAGGTATTGAAAAAAGACTAAAAGTTAAGTGATACAGGCACTGGAAATGACAAAGGATCATGGTGAACCTTAGCTTAGAGTGGGCTTCATATACGCCTTTGCTTTTAAGAACTGTCAGTGGGTGTCTGCTTCTGATTCCATCAGCTACTGGATGAAGGCTCTGGAATCCAGTTGCAGAGGGGAGGAGTGGTGGGTCAAGACCAGGCTGGGGAAACCCATAGAAACAGCTGACCTGAATAAGGGTTTGCTCATGGACCCCAGACTGATAGTTGGGAAACCAGCATAAAACTGTTCTAGACCACCTGAAGGAGGAAGTCAGTTTGGAGGTCTGGACAATCTATGGGGCCATGATAGTAGATCAGCATTTACCCCTAGTACACAAATGGACTTTGGGAGCCCTCTCCACAAAAAGGGATACTCTCCCAGCCTAGACACACTGGGGAGGGCCTAGGACCTGTTGCAAATGATATGACAGACTTTGAATATTCCCCCATGGACGACTTTGAATATCCCTGGGGAGCAGAAAGGTGTTGGGATAGGGAATTGGTGGGGGGCAGGGGAGGAGGGGAGTGAGAGGGAACTGAGATTGCCAGGTAAAAGAAGCTTGTTTCTAATTTAAATTTAAAAAAGAGAAAAAAGAAAACAAACAAAAAAGAACTGTCAGTGGGTGTATGTCTGAAAAGGTTTGGGAATTCCATATTTGAGAAGAAGAAAGATCTGTGGCTTGAAGTTAATAAGAAAAAGAAGTTGGATGGGTGGGTAGGTGTGCTTTGCAAAACTCTCAAATGTAGTATGACTGTTTGTAGTTCTGGAAGTGAACGAATGCTTTTGGGTCCTTTCTCACTATAGAAGAGTTCTCATTCCTATTCACCCATTGTTTACTTCTGGTGTGGAAAGGAGTAAAATGTTCATGTTTGACTGGCCCACAATGTGGAGGCAGTTAAGAATGTAGAACAGAAAGATGACTTGTCCAACTCCCTTCTTCAAATACAAGGGTATACTCCATTTTTAAAAATGTCAATAAGATTTTAAGTACTTCAAGAATCTGAAGTCAAGAGGTTGAGACAGAAGGATTGTGAATTTGGGTCAACTCTCTGCTATTTAGTGAGTTTGAAGGTCAGCCTGAGTTACAGGGAGATTCTGTACAGAAACAAATAGCCATGAATGGTGCTTCACACCTGTAAGTCACAGCTTGTTGGGGGCTGAGACTGGAGGATAGTTGTAGTTAAGGCCAGCCTGGGCTGCATAGTGAATTCAAAACTGGGATGGGTTTCAGAGTGAGATCAAACAAACAAACAAACAAAAACATCAAATAAAAAAATACCATAAAATTTAAACAGGTATAACTTCCCCAAAAACAATCCTCCAAAGCAAGCAAAAATGTTTTCTTTGGTTATGTTTCTGCCTTGGTTATGGAGGTGGATTGAATAGGGATGGCCCCCATAGACTCAAATATTTGAATGCTTGTTCATTAGGTGTGGACTTGTTGGAGGAAGTATGTTACTGGGAATGAGCTTTGGGGTTTCAAATTCTCAAGCCAGGCCCAGTGTGTCTTTTCCTTCCGTCTACTAGTCAGGATGTAGGACTCTCAACTACTTCACAAGCACTGTGTCTACCTGTGGGCCACCATGCTTCCTACCATGACAATAACGGACTAAAGCCGAATGAGTAAGTAAGCCCCAATTAAATAATTTCTTTTTAAAGAGTTGCTGTGGTCATGGTGTCTCTTGACAGCAATAGAACATTGACTATGACAGTTATCCCATGAGAAAAATTTTGGAAGTGTCTCTCACCAAACTAGGGACATGAGACTGAGTAGCATGAAACAGTGAAGTCGCTGGGCATTGGTGGAATGGGCTTTTAATCCCAGCGCTCGGGAGGCAGAGGCAGGCGGATCTCTGTGAGTTCGAGGCCAGCCTGGTCTCCAGAGCGAGTGCTAGGATAGGCTCCAAAGCTACACAGAGAAAGAAACCCTGTCTCAAAAAAACAATAAATAAATAAATAAATAAAACAGTGAAGTACTACTTATGATGAAGCCCTATATCCATACATCGACACATTCAAACACCCTTCAACAACTTTTGGAGATGTGCCAAGTGTCATGCTATGTATCTCTTGCAATAATGAAAATACCGTCCTGACTATATCAGTGTGTACTTCAGTCCTTTGGGAATAGGGAAAAGATGTGAAATAAAACGGTGAAACACGGTCACAGCTGGATGATGAATACTTGGGATTTATTATATGCGTTCTTCACTTTTTGGCATGCCTGATAATTTTCTTAATGAAGTTAAGATATGAATAAAAATGTCTTTTCTTCCAGGCAAAGGAGCTGGATTTGATAGATGCCTATTAACACAAGGGAAGCTACATCATGAAGTTACTATGTATTGGGTATTAGAAAAGATATGTTCATGGCAAGGTCAGAGGTGGGCAGGAAACACCTCTTGGTAGGGAAGTATTCCCTAGAAGGCCTAGCTCAGATTGAGTAGTGAATTCAGCCCCGTACAGCCTCACTAAGGTTTCAGGCTGGGTAGGAGGTATTTGTGGTTCAGAGTGAGCAGTGAAAAACTAGTCTACTATAGCACCATTGCCTTATCCACTTTCCTTTTCTCTTGGGTGCTTTAAATCCAGCAAAGTGAGTAGACAGTATATCACCAACATGCACCAGGTGCTGCTATGCAAAGGCTGCAGGTCATTCTGTTCATATCCTCTCCAGAGCTGGAAACCAGGAATCCAAGACGTTCCTAAAGGAATGAGGGATGCGACACAATCAGGCCAAGGGCAGATCAAGCACCAGCCCTTCCAAATCAAAGCAGGGAGGTAGGTCAGAAACCTGAGCTCTGGCAGTGGTAGGTTCAAATTCCTACTAGCTTCTGCAGCTTTGAACAAGTCACCTAACCTCTCGGAGCTGCCATAATTTCCTCATTTATAAAGCGAGTGCAGGTAAAGCCTTGGAGGGTTTGTTGTCAGAAGCAAATTCGGACACTCAAGATCATACCACCAAAGGAAGAATCCATAAATGGCAGCCATCATTCTTGGCCAAGTGCTGGCGCGTCCTCCTGGGCGCGCCTCCTGCAGGGTCCCTCAGGGCAGACTGGGCCCGCCTCCGAGGTTAGGTCTCGATGCTCAGCATCTGGCTATTCACCTGGAGCAAGCCAGGGGCGCGGACAGGTGGATTGACTGTTCCCCAAAAGGATCGCCCCCTCCCCTCGGCTCCCATCCCTGTGCTACTAGCAGGTGAGGTTTCTCCCAGGCTGCTGGGATTGTGACCGCAGGAAGGGTCGAGGCAGAGGGCGCAGCCCAAGGGCCGGGGTCCCTCGTTGGTGCTGGTTCCATAGCCGGGTTAACCCTGCAGCCGGCTGGGGCGCGGGGCCGTGGACTG